TGTCGGCCAAACAATCGTCGCCGATGGTGGTAACTCAATTTTTCAGCTTCAAATGCTGATGTGCCTGTGAAAAAGACAACACAGTTCTGAAAATGAATAAAAAATCTCGTAAACTACACATATGCACAAAAATAGACGTTTCAAATATGTACATGAAGACTCTCCCTTTTCTATATAAAAATTACGTAAAGTCCTCCATTTTCATTTGTTTCAGTCAAAATATGCTTTTATTTTCTAGCATAATATGTTAGTCGCTGTCCTTTAGAAGTGGAAATCACTAAAAATTGCAGCTAGACCAGCAAACATAGTACAGTACGTGGATATATCGCTCAGTGATATGAATGTCCATCAACGGCATCAATCAGTGGCACAAAAATGTTTTCACAATTATAGATTACCCTTCGGCATTCTAATGGAATTGCGACAGACAAGACTGCATACGGCGGCCTAGCTTTTTGAGCGAATCATTAGCAACAAGTCGCAAGGGCGATAATATCTACAAAATGTCAATGTTCACTCATCCGTTGAAATTATTCTCCGTCTATGAGATGGTTGATGAGAAAGTTCAGTTAAAAAACAGCGCTTTTAAAACAGCAATGAATTATTATAATACGATCTATGTCGCACTTTTATATACGATGAAGAATGTGTTTTGAAGCCCATGCTTCCTTCCAAAGGTTGAAAATTCGTGCCGTAAAGTAAGACCACAGTTTGAATGATTCTTTTGTGGTACTCATTTTTTTGTTTTGAGGTTTTTTGATGCTATTGATTTGGCAATATCTGTCAAAGTTAGTTAAAGCATCGTCGTTCCGTTCAGTGTCTTTCACCAACTTTCGAAGGTAGCGCACTCTTCACTTCAAAAGATCTTAAACCGTCCACCTTCCTTTGAAAAAAGATAGGAGGACAATAATCGCCATGACCCTTGGGTTAGAATCAAACAATAAAAACTCAATGACAAGAGAGCTATTATTAATCAAACAGTAAGCACGTCTTTTGGGAAACTCATCGGTAGCTTTGAAAAAGTAAAAGCTCTGCGCAGAAGGGTAAATGCGAGTGTGAACCAGTTACCGAATTTGTTATGGCTCGTTAGTTGCACAGAAAACAACCACCATAAGCTACATTTCTGTAATTTACTCAATTTCTTGGGTAGAAACTTGCACGAATGACGATACAGCAGAAAATAAACTTTTAATCATTTTTTGAACTAAAGTATGTAGCTTGCAGGTTTACTTATCGAACAAACCCATGACTCTGCAAACGTTAAAAGTCAAATTAGAAAATCGAAAAACATAACTTTGAAGGGAAATCCGATAGCAGTTCTCCACATTTAGCAACGGTGGATCACAAAAAATCAAAAATAAAAGCACTTTTCATTATTAGGCCTTTCAGCGCTTCTGGCAATGAATTGAAAAGACTAGGCATAGAGTTTCGACAGCTTGCATCACCGAAATTTGTGAATGGTGATTTTTGCTCCAAACCGCTAGAAAGTTGATGATTTGTTTTCTTCTAGAAAATCAAAAAACAAGAATCTAATGAGAATGGAATAACTCATGTAAAGATTAGTGCAAAAGTCATGAGACAGAACACTATTTTTACTCGCCACACGATAATATGCCGTTTGATATCGCTGCCACAATTTTGTCATACAAACAAAAAACTATCCCACGCAAGACACCCGAAGCATTTTGGATTACGTCACGTAACCCCAAAATGAATAAAAAGGACGAGTGCATTATCGTAATCAAAGAGTTATCACCGTATCAAAGCCTTTGCGCTTTTGATTGCCAAAGTATAAACAGCATGGAGAGCAAAAACGTACTATCACATTCTGCACAGCTTGACCACGAGCGGTCAGATCCCTCGACTGACGTCGAGTAAGGTAAGGCATGTTCTAGCTCTTTGCTGGTCTCGTGGTCAACTCAGTTTGAATCGTACGGTAACGAGGGCTCAGTAGGTACTCCACACATACGTTTTTGGTTACAGGCTCTGAAGACGGCGTTGGCGCCGAAACGTTAGCCAAGTAATAAATTGTCACCATTCCAATCTTGGTCACTGTTCAACAACAAATCCAAAGGCGAAGTCGTTTCACCGATGTCCATTTGTCACCCTCGTGCTGGGCCCTGTTCACTAGTACTGGCTTCAATGCAGACTTCAAACTGAGTGGATAGTCCATTTTCACCTAACCCCTCTCTTATCGCTCAGGAATTGTGCAGCAAATCCAAGATTGTCATCAGGGTCGTGCAAAACTTGTGGCACACAACCGCCGAGACGATCCTACAACCTGATCTTTTTTTTTGCTTTGAGAAGCTAGAAAAGACAGTTAGCTTAAAATGAGAAATCGTATATGGCGGAAATGAGATGTGCCTATCACACAATGAACCCCGACAGTGAGGTACAATTCAGTTTTGCACGAAAGTTTCATTGCATCGCTACCGCAATCATTCTGCTCCCTCATTGGTTCACCTGACTTCATCAATTCAGCAATATCTTATGCCCTTTTTTGTAAATAATAGGTAGCCTGTCTTGTAGCCACAAGCCAGTAGTACAAAAAAGTTGAAAGGGGCTCAAATAGACAAGTTTTGCGAAAAGGAAAAATTATCATTCAAAATTGTCCGCTTTTTTCGACATTTTTTGGTAGCCTCAAAATCCCAAAATATGAAAATTTTTGATTTTCTGCCTACGCTGAACATCTCTGCAGAAACTTTCAACAGAAGGCCTTCCCTTACGCTTCCAGAAATGAGCCAAGCTTTGGCGATTACCCTCTTTAGCAGCGTACACCCAAAAGTTAAGTTACGCAGTTCCTTGCACCATATATATACAGGGCCCAGAAGAAGACTAACTGCGGTCCGGTCTCCCAATGTTGCTTCCGCCTGATTTTTCTTTCACTCCGCCTCTTTCGGATGAATCCACGACAGCGTAAGCTGCAGTTGCAGTTGCTGTTGCTGTTGCATCTGCTGTTGCAGCTGCAACTGCAGTAGCAACTGTGCAGTTGCATTTGCGGTCCGCCTCCTTTGGATCCACGACAGCGTAAGCTGTAAGCGTACGCTGCAGTTGCAGTTGCAGTTGCAACTGCAGGCTGTCATGCAGTTGCAGCTGCTCCTCGCTGGCATGCCGACGGGGTGGAACAATTCGAAACTTGTCCTTCCTTTGAAGAGAGGGTCCCGGAAATCGGGGTTTTTTGGGGGTTTTGGAGAATTTTGATATCATAACTGTAATCAGGGGTACGGAAAAGCCTCAGAATGTCAAAAACATCGAAAGCGAAATTTTGGGTGCACGCTGAATTCAAAGGAAATTTATGGGTCACAAAATGACCAAAACCACTAGCCATGTTGAGGTGCCGAAATATTTTGGTCATGTGTACAGATAACCTTAGACTACTGATTAGGTATTTGATAGAGGCTCTTTTTCCAAAACGCACTGGCTGCGTTTCAAAACCTGCGTGCCGAAATATTTTGGTCATGTGTACAGATAACCTTAGACTACTGATTAGGTATTTGATGGAGGCTCTTTTTCCAAAACGCGCTGGCTGCGTTTCAAAACCTGCGGAAAGTTCGTTTTTTTTGAACCCTGATTTCAATGAATCATTTCTTGCTTGCAAAAAGACTCAAATATCAGGGCAGGTAATTGTCGGATATTGCTTCACCTAGTCAACACACAGGATGTAAAACAAATCTTCAAATTAAGCTTCTGAAGTTCTGCGCGTCCATAATCTGAAAAATGTGCCTTTTCGCAGACCTGAGCGCAAGGGATTTTTCTCCATTTCTGGGCATTTATTCCTATTTGATCGTTATTTTTTCGAGCTGAATAGCGTGTTAGGTAGCTAGGGCCATACCACACTAAGAACGCATTTTGAACCAGCCCTTTGCATTCGCATTCCTTTTGGTATTTACGAGAAGGATTGGCAGAACTTTCTTTACAACCTGATAGCTTCAACTCAAATTATTCACAGTATGAAAGAAATCATATGAAAGTGTGGCACGGATATTACACTCTTCGTTGTTCTCTAGGAGATCCTAGTCTTTTATGTGAACCTTGTTACAAGAAGGGAGGATGATACAGCATAGAAATTTTGTATTAATATTTGTTGCGTTTTTGACTTGCTGCCAATGTATTCACTTGGTAAGCTATGATGGCTGCGTATGTCTTCTGTACGGATACGACTCTACACGGGTTTTTACAAAAAATCTTTTTTGAAGCGCACCTTGAGTGTATTGACAAAGTATAGGAGAAGGGGTGATGAAAAAAAGGAAAATTTGTTGCGAGACATGAATCTCAACTTGTAAGAAGGTTTCCAGAAATTTCAAATGAGTTTTTGAGAAATGGACATTTCAATACTTAGCAGTGCTCAGAAAAGAGCTTGCATGATGAGTTTTAGCTTATAAACGCACCTCAACTTCGTAAGCTCACCATATATTATTCTAAGAGCCTACTATATTCTTGAGCAATTCCATGTATATGCCATATGTATGCTGGTCTACCTATCAATGACAAAAAGCTTCACAGCTTATGTTATTATCAATCATGCTTCGCAATTTTCATTCAGAATGGGGAGTAACTATGCGTTTGCGTTCTCTTTTGTAAACAGCTGAAACAAAGCAAGTACCTTGATCAAATCAGAAAACCAGAGGGGGAAGTTCATAAATGGTCTTGCTTTGAATAAAGGAATTTGGGAGAATTTTTGTGTTCAGCATTGATAAAGTTTATTTCTGTGCGCCTGTAGAGATTACGTAATCTTATACTGGAACTCGAAACCGTTCTGTCTTTTTCATAGGCATATCAGCATTGAACCTACATCAATTGAGTTGCCACCATTGGCGACGAATGTTTGGCCGACGATGTAAGATGACTGTCTTCTGTCAGCCAAAAAAAGCGATTAGTGTTGCGATCTCTGACAGCTTCGCAATTTTGCGCTGGGTACCTCGCATGGATTTCTGGCATAAGATGTTTAGAATTAGAAAATTAAAATACGACGGGTTCAAATAGATTGCCTGGGCTCTTACCTTTGCTGCAAGCTCACCAGGAACTCCACTATTTTGTGCAATATTCGTCATTACTCCACCATAGCTAAAAAATGCAAAATTTTCGTATACCTCTTATAAACGGTAACATCATCACTTACTTCATATTATTTACCCGCACTCCTTCAGCAATAAGTTGAGTTGCAACAGCTAGCATCATCTGATCCAAAGCTGCCTTCGACAACGCGTAGTACGGTATTTTTGCATACTAGAATAGATATTCAATAGCTTACAGTGCTGCTCATGCTCACGTCTTTTGGCAACCTGCAATGTTGGAGACATTTACAATCTCACCCCTGCAATGTTGGAGACAATTACAATCTCACCTTTTGAGGATACCAAATATAAGCGAGATAATTGGATCAACTCAACCACACTTAGGATCAAGTTAAGAGTTAGCTCGTTTTTACAAAATTAATCTGTACACATTCAGATCCATCCATGGTCTTCTTAATATATCTGTGCTAACCTTTAGTACAGCGAAGCATCGTGGCTCAAAAATGTGCCACCGGTGCTATTTTTTTGACTGTTACTGTTCATAACAGTTCGCAAATTTCCTGTACATGCTTTCTGCGCGAGAAAGTGCAATAATGGCTAGGCTGTTCGGGTCCTGTTCTAGTTGCACTGTGTTCAAGCAGCGACAGGATTCTTGCACTTACTGCAGTGTAATGGACATATTTGGAAGTTGTGGTATGCTTAATGCTTTTGCTCTGATGCCTGATGTGACCTTCATGTGGAAATACGAGGTCACTTCCCAACGTCTATCTGAGTGCTTGAGTTCCACAAGTCCCCTTTTAAGTGGTTTCATACAATTCCCCAAGGAAATTCCCATAATTTTCAAGTATTTCAGATGACAAGTGGCTGCTATTATTTCTCACACATGGAGGTCTAGCAAGTACTAACGGAATAGCTTATTGGGACCTGCTATACGTAAGAGTATATTCAAAATCCGAAAACCACTGTATTCAGCTCGTCAAGGCGAATCTTTGGATATACAGGTTGTATCTAATACCTTGTTTTCAATAATCTTGAATTTGCATGCGGACGCCTCTTCGCATGGGTGTAACGCAAAGAGCATCACACATAGGAGACTGCCGTGGACACCGTTCGATAGTACTCTTTCACCAAATTATCGTGCGCTAAACAGCGGCCAAAGACTCTCTTTCAAAAGAGATAGTAGAGCTGATAAACTCTTTAAAAATCAAGCTGCTCCAAGTTCCACTAGCCGTAACTTCCTTCAGAATGAATTTTCGAAATCCGAAAACAGCATTGTGTTCATCTCGTCAAGTCGAATCTTACGGTATAAGCATGCCCTTGAAATTCCGTTCCCAATTTTTTCAAAATTTTCTGCGCGTATATTCACAAGGTCGCAATGCAGCACACATCAAACGTAAAAGACTCCAATAAGCACTGTTGGATTGTACTGCTTTCGCAGATTATAAAGCGCTAAAAAGCAACCGGAGAATCCTCTTGGAAAATAACAGAAGAGGTGGATTTTGGAAAAATGGATTAGGTGAATTTTGGAAAAATCGTGTTGTCTCAAATTTCGCCCACCGTGACCCTAAAATGAGAAGCTCTACTGCTACGCAGATGTGATTTTCGTAATCAGCAAATTAGATAGCCTCTATGAGCAAGTTTTCAAAGAAATTCGGGTGATTCGATTTTTTCTTGTTCCTTTTTTCTTGCCCTGATGCTCGCCGATGGATTTTAGTCAAAATGCCGATGATCTTGGATTGTAAGGAAACTTCGCTTAAAGAGGTTTTCGAACGCGCTGTTTACGATAATCGTCATTTGCGCGGAGTACAGAGTTTTTTAGCTGATATATGGTGAGGGAAACTTGGCTAAGCCACGAAAGTTCGTAGATTTGCCTGCATTTTTCGAGCACCTCTCAAAAAATCTGCTTGCTTGCCTCTACAGGCTAAATTCACTGGAATGCATGCTATTTAAGGATGCATGCATCTGGCTTCAATCTGAGCAATCTCCGAGTTACGGGCTCACGAAATCACGTCCTCATGAGTTTTGCCCAAAATGTAGATCGCCTGCTTCGTAGAAATTCCACCTAAGTGACTGTAAAACACTGCGGTCGCAAAATTTGTGTTCACTTCGCTTAAGGAACCTATCCTGCTGTACGGAAGTAATTGATTAGATCTGAGGTCTAGCCATGAATCTGCTTTGATATTCACTTGAGGGCTCACGCACATATAACAGTACTCTGCGTTGATACCACTGCTT